CACCCCTTCCCAGGACCCTGTACTCACCCGGACCTGGGTCACCAGGGGGCACTGTCCTGCCAATGTTGGGCAGGAGATACTCAATGTTGGGCACTGACTGAGGCTCCTTGTCATCCACAGGGGTCTGCAAATAGAAGGAGGGTCAGCCAGCACGCCCTCAGATGGCTACACTGGATCCTGCAGCATGGGGTCCCCTGAAGACAGGGCCCACGTCTCCTCCATCAGACTGGGCTCACCAGGGCAGAGACTGCCTTCCTCAGGGCAGGTCCTACATGTCTCCAGTTAGACTATGTTGCGTCTTCCCCAACACCCTGATTGAACCACAAAGCCCTGAGCTGCTCCTCCAGCTGAAGGCAGGACCTGTGTCTCCCCCCCAGACTGGACCCTCCTGAGACCTGTATCCTTTACATAAGACAGAAGGGGGGGTCTGCCTTTGCTACTGGACTCTGTTTCCTTCGAGGAGGCCGGTATCTCCCCTCAGACTGAGAACTCACGAAGGCAAGGGCTGTGCCTCCCATCAACTGGGTGCTCCTGAGGAGAGGGTCTGTGTTTCCTCCATCAAACTGGGGATGCCACAAGGACGGGACCTTCCCCCGCTTGCGCTTCGCCTCCCCCGCCCCCAACCTGGGATGAGGGCCCACCTCAGACCAGACCCCACCCCGCTGCCTGCTGCACCACTTACCCTCTCCCCCTTGTCCTCGTCATCACTGAAGAACCAGTCTGACTGCAGAGGAGACAAAAGGAAGTGGCGCAGTCAGCGTGGGAAGGGGCTGAGGGAGCCGGGCTCCCAACCCTCGGTCCGCAGGACCCACCCAGGCGCAGATGCAATGGGACAGGAGGGGCACCAAGAGGCAGGGGCCCCCTCTCCCCAGCAAACTCCAGGCGGGCCTGGCTGCCAGGGAGGTCTCAGGTTGAGACCTTGGGTTCTGGAACCCAACTCCACAGACTATGAGAAACCCTTGGGGAAAGAAAAGATTGTGCCCCAGGGCAGGAGGGAAATGCAGCCTGGAGCGAGAGAGGGTCGGAGCAGAGACTGATGACCTGCTCAGGGAGAGCTTCTCGCTGCCTGTTTTCCACTAGACACTGGCCAGTCATGTTGGGCTCAAGTTCACCTTAGGCAAATGACCTCTCTGGGACTATTTACTTAATCTGTAAAATGGGCACAATAATTTGAGTGTCTACATCTAGAACTGTGGTGAGAATTAAAATGAAATACTATATGAGTGTTATCAAAATGATAAAAAATAACAAGTGTTGGTGAGGAATGTGGAAAAAAGGGAACCCCCGTGCACTGTTGGAGGGAATATAAATTGGGGCAGCCACTATGGAAAACAGTATGGAGGGTCTTCAAAAAATTAAGAAGTGAACTACCATATAATTCAGTAATCCCACTTCTGAGTATTTATCTGAAGGAAACAAAAACACTAACTCAAAAAGATATTTGCACCCCTATGTTCACTGTAGCTTTACTCACAACAGCCAAGACACAGAAGTAACCTAAGTGTCCACAGATGGGTGAATGAAGGAAATAAAACAGAGTATTACTCAGCCATAAAAAAGACGGAAACCTTGCCACCTGTGACATCATGCATAGATTTTAAGAGCATTACGCTAAGTGAAATAAGTCAGACAAAGAAAGACAAATATGGTATGATTTCACCTATATGTGGAGTAAAAAAATTAAAAAACAAAACAAAATTGGAGCTTATTGGAGATACAGAGAACACACTGGTGGTAGCCAGAGTTGAAGGGATGGGGCTGGGGGTGAAAGGGGTCGAAAGGTACAAACTTCCAGTTATAAAATAAGTTAAGTCCTGGGGATGCAACATACAGAAGGGTAGTCACAATAATACTGTATTGTAGATCTGAAAGTTACTAAGAGATTAGACATTAAAAGTTCTTATCACAAGAAAATAAATTTGTAACTACATATGGTGATGGATGTTAATTAGACTTATTGTACTGATCATTTTATAATATATACAAATATTGAATCATTATGTGGTACACCTGAAACTAACATATGTCAATTATATCTCAAAAAATAACCAAAGAAATGAAATACTGTATGTAAAACATTTAGTATGCCACATTGTTAGTGCATAATAAATGGCCATTACTATTAAATATAATATGTAAATTATAAATATGTAAAATATATAAAATATTAAATATAACAATAGCTGTTATTATTAGAAGTTACAGTCCCAGAGAGAAGCTTACCAGAGGGAGCCCTAAGAAGCCAGCCTTTAACCTGGGTTTGAGAGTCCCCCAAAGTGCTCTAGGAACCCAGAAGTCTACAGGAAGCTTCCGGATAGCCCGCGTTTCTCTGGAAGAATTCACGCTAGCTCAAGCCACCCTGCTTTTTTTCCCACATGCAGTTCCCTCTGCCGAGAATGTTCCTTCTCCCTTCTCTGCCTGGCTAAATGCCTCATGGTCTTTTAAGACAATTCAAGAGCTCCCTGAGTACCAACCCAGCCCTGTGCCCAGGGGCTTCCTGCTGTGGGCACAGCCCAGAGTGTGAAGCGATGCCTTCAGTGGGCAGTGTTCCTTCTGAGCAGGGTCTGAGTTTGCTGCATACCTGTGCTCCCAGTGCCTGCTTGTCCCTGGCATAGAATAATGATGGCGAGGACAGCTAACTCTTCTGTAACCCTTACTAACTGCCAGGCACCATCTTAAGTGCTTTGCAGATAGTAACTCATGAAATTCTCATAATAACCCTGAGAGGTAAGTACTATGATCATCTCCACTTTACAGATGAGGAAACTGAGACATAAAGACAGTAAGCAATGACTCGTCCAAGGCCATACAGCATATAAGGAGCAGAGCTAGGGTTCAGTCTCAGGCAGGCAGGCTTCTCAGCCAATGCCCTCAACTGATACAACAGTGGTTCTCAATGGGGGTGATTTGGGCCCCCTAGGGGGCATTTGGCAATGTCTGGAAACATTTTCCTTTGTCACAACTGGAGGGATGTGCCTGACACCTCGCCAGAGAGGCTGCTAAACCTACTATAATACACAGGGCAGCCCCCACAATGAAGGGTGATCTGGCCTAATTGTCACTAAGTGCCAAGGCTGAGAAGTGCCAGTGTACACATATTTGCTGAGTTAGTACCTGAACAACCGCCGTGACAAGGTCTGCTTGAGTTGCATCTGACTCAGTAAACATACGTAAGAGCTGGCTGGTGACTTGCTGTTGAGAAGCCGAACACCTGGGTTTGCTCACTTCTACTGACATCATCTTGTTGTGCAACCCCAGGCAACTCACTGTTCCTGTTCACAGCTCAGTGTCCACCCTCTGTGCAATGTGAGGACCAGTCTGATGTCTTAAAGCCACTTCCAGCTCTGCTGTCCAAGGGTTCCGCAGATGACAGGAGTCCCAGGCAGGGGACGCCAGGTGATGGCTGTGGCTAGAACTCCCAGCAGGAGGCCATGTCACCCACTGACTGGCCAGGGCTCAGAGCCATAGTGGTCTCTGCCACAAATCCACCCCCTGTGGGGGCTCATGACTACACTGATGCCTAGCTATAGAGCCTCTGGGCTAGACACACCCTTGCAAACCTGGGTGGGGCTGGTGGCTAAGGGGTCTGCAGAAGGGGCAGCTCATTCCCTCAACAACCATCCAGGGCTGATTATGTACAAATGCCAAGGAAGCAGAAAATGGAGCATCATCAGTTCAGTTTCCAGGAATGATGCCCTGGGTGGGAAAGCCCAGACTGGTATAACTTCAATAGCAATTCATTCATTCATTCATTCATTCATTCATTCATTCATTCATTCATTCAACAAACACTGAGTATTCACTGGGCACTGGGCACTAGGTTCAGTGCTGGGAACACACTTACGAAGGAGACAGATATGCCTCACCTCCCTCACCCTGCCAGAGGAGACGCTGCTGTTGGCTGGGGACTCCCCTCAAGGCTCTGGGAGAGAGTAAATGAACATATTTTGGGCCTCCTTTGCCCCTGAAGGCTGTTGTTCCTGACATCCCAGCTGCCCACAGGCCTCAAGTTTCTGGGAACTTCTCCAAGCCATGGGGCCAGCCTTCCTCTCTTCCCTACTGCCACCCCCCTCTCAGAGCACAGACTCATGGGGGCTCCAGCGGGCTCCCTGTTGGGTTGCAGAGCTGAATTTTCCAAGGGAGATAAGCTTCCCCAGACCAAGGCCTCATCAGGATCCCTGAAACTGCCTGGTGGTCCTGGTCTCCCTGACAGCTTTGGAATAGGCATCCAGGCTTTCGTCCCAATGTTAGCGTGAGAACAGGCCATGATGCTCCCTCCTATGGCTCAGAGCGCTGGCCACGTAGAGAAGGAAAGAAACAAACATGCGAGGCCAGTCAGCATGACCAAAGTCGACCCCACTTCCTTACTTCACTGACTCTAGCCAGCCTCCCTCGCTCTAGGACAGACGGAGGAATCTGCCCTCCCAGTAGGTGGGGAGAAAAGCACAGGCTTTGGTCAGACAGACCCAGGTTAACATCCTGGAGCTGCCATTTATTAGTTGTGTGACCTTGAGTAAGACACTTTGCCTCTCTGAGCTCCAGTCTAGTTTCCTCATCTGTAAAATGGGGGTAACATGATCTAGTTTCCCTTCCCTAAAGCCTGTATGAGGTGGGGGAGGCGAAGGCTCCTCTTCCCCTGACTAGCTGCCAATCTTATTTCTCCTGGCAGGAGGAGTTCTGGTTCTGTCCTTTGTGGTCTGGACCACAGGCCATACCAAGATTTGGAAATAGAAATCTAAGAGGATTCATAAAAAATCCTTGAGTGCTCCAGAAGGGGCACTGCTGCCCAGGGTTTGGCTCTGGAAGACAAAGGCCTCCTGCGTCCTCTGCTGGCCAGCCTCAGCTCTCATCCCTTCATGGACAATAACAAGAATCTTTAGAAACACAGGCCTCTGGGGCCTCCAAGCAGCCAAGGGAAGGGAGGCGACCAGCCCAAAATACACAGAGCACATTCAGGATCCTGCCCCAGACCATGCCTGTCCCTGCCCCATATGTCTCCACCCTACCCTGGGCATCACCTTTCCTCCCTCAGGGCAAAGCTCTGCCTCCACCCCTGCACCCCTGCCTCCACCCCTGCACCCGTCTGATGGTTTATGCCAGGATACCTCTCCTGGAGGCCAGCTTCTGAAGGTGCCCCTGCAGTCAACCCTCCGCTCTCCAATCCAGCAGCACCTTCTCTGACCTTCCTTTTCCCTCTGACCCTCACACACATCTTGGAAACTCAGGGGCCTCCTGTTTCTCCTGCTGGGGACCTGAGGAATCCCAGACAATAGGGATTCTAGGATCTCTTCCTGTTTGGCCTGGAAGGGCATTCACCATCCCAGCGTCAGGGCACATGGCCCGGCCAGGGTGGCTACTTACATGTTGGATCAGCGTCTCCACAATCTTGTATCGGTCAGGCATGTGAGTCACCATGTCTGCCATGTTGTCCTCAGATGTCCTCACCAGTGTCGGCCCGAAGACCAGGGCCAGGTTCCGGGGCTCCATCTGGGCAGTGGAGGGAGCAGGTCAGTGTCAATAACTCTGGCAGCCTGACTCCAGTCCCCCAGATCTCCCTCATCCTGGGCCCCTTAGGCCCCTCCTGACCACATTCTGAGTTGTTCCTGGCTTAGGGGCTGACCACCTCCTTGCAAGGGCATGGAGGTGCCTGGTAAGTAGAGCACAAACCAGATTTCAGCCCCACTCACCTCCAGGTCTAGCAGCCATGGGCAGTGCCCAACCTGTACACTGGACTGTGCTAGCAATGGGAGACCCTGGAGTGGGAACTCACTGGAAGGCATTTTAAGCCTGGGAGAAATCTTATAGCTCCCCTAATTTTCTCTGCTGCAGAACCGGAAGATAAGAGAGGTGTGACTGGGCAAAGGCAGAGCAAGGAATTCCAGCTAAATCAAAGGATGGATTTTCATCAGCCATGGGGGACTATGGCCCTGGGCCTCTGAACGACCCTCAGAAACTCAGGAGCCCATTCCGAGGGAGAAGCGCTAGCAGGAGGGGGGCGTGCCTGGAGGGGCTTGAGCGTACCTGACCCAGAGGAGCTCATAATATGCTGAGGAGACCCAGGTATGCTTCCCTCCCCGCGCGCCACACCAGAGCCCCCACCCACCTTGTTTTTCTCTGAGTGGTCAGCAATGGTCTTCAGATGGCCCACGAGGAATTTTAGCGTTTCATAGTAGTGTCCTGGGAGGTCCCGGATCTGGGCAGGAGAGAGAAGGGCATGGGACCAGGCTGTCATGGTCTCCCGTCCATCATGCCCCAAAGGGGCTCCCATTGCCATATTTTAGGGGGTCTGGACTCCACCCTCTAACTGCTCTCCTTGTAGAGATGGAGAAACTGAGGCCTTGAGTGGAGAAGGGCTTCCCAAGGTCAGAGAGGGAATTGGTGGCACTGGACTCAGGGCCTCCTGGGACCGTGGTGCTTTCCCAATCCAGTCTGCCTTTTGCCTGACAGTCTTTCCTTACCAGTTTCCGGAGGGTTTTCAGTCGCTCCCTCGAGTCTTCGATGCGATTGGCTTCAATGAAGTCGTTGTATTTATCTAGAACATACCAAAGACCCTTTAGAGAAATGGGAAGCGGGCTCTTTCCCCACTCTCTGGGTAAGAAGCTTCTGGGCTGAAGGTCAAGGAGACCTACACTGTTCCAGTTTTATAGGGCTCTGTGGCTGTGTGTCCATGTGACCAAACCCACCATAGTTGCACTCAGGTGTGCACCTGACCTGGGGCAGCCGAGATGTGTACATTTGGGAAGAAATAAGACCTGAGCTGCATGTTAATACTGAAAAAGGGGTCCCTGCACCAGTCTCCAGGACAAGGGTACCACAAGGTCAGAAGACAAGGTTACTTAGAAAGAGGAAGCAGCCTTTTGGTCTCCACATGCCCCACTCCACCCGTGTCAAGATTCCCCCAACTCGCTTCAGAAGTCCATGGGAAACTTTTAAAAAATGGAACATGGTAAGTGTACTCTAAAATCCATCTGGATGAGTAAAGGCACGAGGAGAGCTGAAAATATGTTTTAAAGGACCAATGATGAGGGAGGATTTGCCCTCCCAGATACGGAAACATGCTACAAAGAGCACGGCTAAAGCAGTGGGACTGATAGGGAAAGCGGGACAGGGACAGGGACAGGGACAGAAAGGAGGGCAGCAGGCCACGTGCATCTTTACTATGTGATAGGGTGGCCGTTCAATCAGTGTGGGAGGATGGAGGCGTCAACAAACGTCCCTGGGGCAATTAGCTATATCAGTGGGTGGGAATCTGTATCTAGCTCACATAATACACATCTAATTGCATCACAGAGCCAAACATAAAAGTTATTAAAATATTGGGAAAAAGAACAAAATAGTTTCATAATCATAAGGCCCTCTTAAACATGAGAGGCAGAATCCATGAAAGATTAACAGCTTTGACTACCCTTAAAATCATTGTTTTCAATTTCTCTACTGGAAGTTCAAAGGCAAATGGCACACGAAGAGCAAATATTTACAAAAACTAACAAAGAATTAATATCTATAATATATAAGAGCTTGTCTCCTACAAATCAACAGAAAAAAAAGACAGATAACCAAATAGAAAATAGGCACATAGTGTGCACAGCCAAGTAGAAAGGAAAAAGAAAAGCCCAACAAGCTAATGAAAAGATAGTTAATGAAGGAAATGAAAATGAAAACAATAATGAGACGCCATTTCCCTTATCCAATTAGTAAAAGTTTAAAATATTAATAACATCCAATGTTGATGAGGGTAGGGGGAAGCCAATGCCTTCTTATGCTTTTAATGGGGGTGTGCAGGAGGGCGCACTTCTCAGAGTGCCACCTGGCATTAGCTTTCAAAAATGTTTACCAGGGAAGGGATTAAGCTGTGCAAATTGCCAGTTATAAAAACAGTCCCAGGGGTGTAAATTATAGCACAAGGAATATAGTCAATAATATTGTAATAACTACGTATGGTGTCAGATGGGTACTAGACTTATCGGAGCGATCACTTCATAAGTTATAGAAATGCCTAATCGCTATGTTGTACACCTGAAAGTAATATAATATTGTATGTCAACAATAATTAAAAAATAAAAAATTACTTTTAAAAATGTTTACCAGGACTTAGACCTAGCAATCCCACATCCAGAAATCTACCTCGAGGACACTGATCCAGGTGTGCAGGGACATACACAAGGGAACTCACTGCAATGGGTTTTGCACAGTAAAAATTTGAAGGCAACCTAAATGTCCACCAATAGGGGAGTGATTAGACAAATTATAGTCTATTCAGACTAGGAAACAGTATGTGGTTGATTTAAAAGAAGAATGAGGAAGAGCTCTTTGTACTGACAGGAATGAATCTCAAAATTACAAGCCTCCTTTTGTTAAGAACAACCCAAGCAGTGGTGTGCCAGAGGCCACATGCCCTGGCTCCTGAGAGCTGACTGTGTTTATCTCCCAGCTCCACGTTGCTGACAGCGTATTGGTGGCTTGAAATCAGCCATGGTGGGAGTATTTATACCATGAAAATTGGAAAATGCTACAGATCAAGGCTTTTTTCCCAGAGAGCCAGGTGTTAAACATTTATCAGCACACCACTAAATGTGTATGTGACTTTCTTGTGTGTGTCAGAGAGTCTGGAAGGAAACACAACAGGTTGTTAATAAGCAGCTCAGCAAATGGTCAAAGCTGGGCTCTGGAGCCAGGAGCCTGGCGCCTAATCCTGTCTCCAACACTTACAACCTGTGAGACCTTGGGCAAGTCATTTAACCTCTCTGTGCCTCTGTTTCCTCATCTGTGAAGTGGAGATAATAGTACCTACTTCCTGGAGTTGTAGGGAGTAGTGCTTGGCACATAGGAAATGCTCAGAGAGTGTTAGCATAACCTCAGTAGACAGGGACCTTTGCATTTACTTTATTTGTATCTGTGCTACCTAAGTTTTTTACAAGCACATATTTCTTTTATATTAAAACAAAAAAGCCCCAAAATAAAACCAACAAACCCAATTTAAAGAGTGGTCAGGGTGTCCTTCCTCCCCACTTCCAATCCCTACTCACCATCAGTGAAAAGAGGCTCAGGTAGCTTTCGAAAGAAGGACTTGAGCAGGCTGCTGATCACATTGAGGTCTTGCCAGCGCTGTAGAGGGGGCAAAGATGTCAGGCCACAGGTAGGCCCAGCCCAGGTGCCCAAACCACATGCCCCCAGGCCTGGGGCCAGCCAGGTCCAGCCTAAGCCCTCCGTGGGATCCACTTACACCAAGCTCTGCCCAGACCAGGGATCTCTGGGCTAAGAAGGCTCATCAGGGGCAGCAGAACAGAGTCCCCAGCTAGCCCTCTGACCACCTGGCTCTAGCCCCTCCCTGCTCCAGCCAGCCCAGTGAGCTCCAACATTTGCCCACACAGAAAGACCAGGTGCCTTCTCTGGTACAGGCACTGTGAGGGACAGAAGTAAGTGAAACCCACCCCCATGCAAGCCTGCCCATTGGACCTCCATTGTGCCTACTTAGTGCCAACTCCTGCTTCCTGGTGCTCCCTATTTAGCAGAGTCATCCTTGGACACCTCTCTCTTTGTCCCTGACACAGTGCATGCTCATGCAGGTGCCTTCCTGTCTCAGGCCCTCTCTACTAGGACTCTCCTCTTCCAACTCTCCACATGACTGGCTCCTAACACTGTCTAAATATCACCTCTCCAGAGAGTCACGTCCTGACTGATACAGCTAGAGTGGTCATCATCACCACTGCCCTGCCATCTGTCTCACAGCCCTGATTTTGTTTCTTCCACAGCACTTACCACAATTTGTCATTATTGTATGCATTTGTTATCTTGCTCCTGCCAGTCTACCTGGAGGAACTGTAAGCTCCATGAGGGGCAGGGATCTTACTGTCCTATTCCTCACTGTGTTGCTATCACCCAGCAGCTCGGTTAGCCTGGCACTTAAAAGGTCTAAGTCAGTAGTTCTCAACCAGGGCCACTCTGCCCCCTGCCCCCAGGGACATTTGGCAATGTCTGGAACCACTGTTTTTCACACTGGGGGGTGCCACTGGCACCTAGTGGCTAGAGGCCAGAGATGTTGCTAAACCTCCTCCAATGCACAGGACAACCTCCTGCAACAAAGAATTATGTTGTCCAAAGTGTCACGGTTAAGAAAACCCTGATCTAAATAAATGGTTGTTGAATAAAAGAATGAACAACCGGGTCACTGTCTGTTCTTTCCACCAGGGGGCATCATCACCCTGGACAAAGTTTAGGATAATAGCCTTGATGGAACTGCTCAGAGAAACTCATGCCCAGAAAACAACATAGACACACAACAGAGATATACAACTGGCCAATATACACATTTAAAGACACAAAGTTCAACAATATACAAACTCATTACAATGGATCCACAGCTTAATGCCCGACCATCCCACAAATACTACTCTCCCCACAGCCTCAATAGGAGTTAGATTCACCCCACACACAAACTTAACTTCCAGCATCCCCACCACCCCACTGACAAGTGACACCACTGATATGTAAGGCAAAGCCACACGCCCAATACACCTGCCACCCCCTGCCCCCCACTGCTAGGCTCTCTTCTCCCTGGCTAAGGCCTAGCTAATGTGCTTCAGTGCATGCTTACTCCTACCCAGACAGTACCTACCCACCCACCTCCCTCCACTACCTCCTGCCCTGATGTGTGGGCTCTTCTTTTTCCCCAGCTGCCAAACCCAAGGCCTTGCCCTGTATTTCTTGACCCTTCTGATGTGCAAGTCTCTGTCTCATCCCCAGCCTCACCTGAGCTCCTCTCTCCATCTGCCCACTCAGAGCCCGGTCCTTGCACTCCTGACACCCACCCTCTCCCCATAGAGCAGCTTGCTCCATTTCTCACTTCCAAGTCCCCGTGTGACGCCATGCCCACTCATTAGCCCGCTCTTGGTCTAGCGTCTGGTTATGCCATCACCCCCATGTAGGTGACTCATCCTCACTCCAGATCCAGTGGGGCCACTACCTGCCACAGCCTCCCTCTCCTGTCCTATTTCCCAATTTCTGCCAGGATAGATACTATCAGTCCTAACTTTTGGCTTTTCTCGCCCCTCCTTCCTCCCTCTTATGCAACCAACTCTCAGAGCTGCTCCCAGCCATTCTCCTTACTCTCCAAGGCCCACTGAGTCCACTTCCAATGTACCAGTAATTTTCCTAGGTGCCCTGCTCTGGGCCTTCCTCATTCACATCCGTTAGGTACAAGCTAAAGCTCTACTCTTTCTCAAACCCAACTCTCATTATGGCCTCTCCAGCTGAAGACCCATCGACGGCTTCCTATTGTCCATTGATCAAGGTCAAAGGCTTCAGCCATCAAAAGCCCTCTGTCCCCTGCCCTGGGTCTCACCCTCCCCACTGCCAAGCCCAGGAGGGGGTTATACATTTTCTGTCCTAACACTCAGACCCTTCTCTGGGATTTTAGAAAATGCCATCATGCCCTGCCTGGACTGCCTTCCTGTCCACCTGCCCCACCCCCCATCCTTCAAAGATTCAAACACTCAAGGCTACCATCTGCTCCAGCACTCAGCACCCTCCTTCCTCAACACGCAATCTGGTCCTTGATGAGAGATCAGCTTTTTCTCTTGCCCACGATTTCACACACACTTGTCTTGTCTCCTTCCCTTCCTGAGGGCAGGAAGACTGCCATGTATCGCATGAGGTTTCATGGTATGTGGCTCATGGGACTCCACTGCCCAGATTCATGGTTTCCCAAAAATCTCTTTCTCAGCAGAGTCCCTTTTGTTAAATAAAATCACACATAAAAACCCAATTGTACATGAAAACCCGTAGAGCAGGATCACTCTAGTTCAAGCAAGGATCGGGGGTCCTGACCCCACCCTGGCCTCCCACAGCCCCTCCAGGGAAACTGAAGATTCTGGAAAACAGTCTGAGAACCACTGGCCCTGCTGCAAACTCTTAAGTGTGTCTGTCAGATTCGTGAGCTGGTCTCGCCTCCTGTGATCAGCCTCTTCCCTTCCCATCTTGCAGCCCCCAAATTGCTGGCCACTCCAGAAAATGCCGTATACTTCCCTTCTTCTAAGCCAGGGGTCTGCAAACCACAGCCCATAGGCCAAATCCAGCCAGCACGGCCCTTAAGCTAAGGATGGGTTTTACACTTTTAAAGGATTGTAGGGGGATAAAGGAGGAAGAAGAGAAAGGTATGCAACGGAGACTGTATGGTAGCCAAAGCCTAAAATATTTACTACCTGGCCCTTTACTGAAAAGGTATGTTGACTGATGGCAAACCCTGAGAGTCCACGCCTTGGCCCAGGCCATTTCTTCTGCCTGCAATGCCCTTGCCTGGCTTTCTCTGGCCTGTAGCGAACTGCACTCATCCTTAAAGCCCAAAACCTCTTTCCAGCCAGCCTCTGTCTTAGGGCTTCCTAGGCCCTGACTGCATCTATTTGTTCAACTCCAGTTGGGGTGATGCCCATCCCCAGGACTGGACTGCAAGGGCAAGTCCTGTCTTGCCCATCTTGGTGCCCTGGCCCGGTGCTAGGCACATTGAAGGGTACAATAAACACAACAGACACACACCCCACCTCGGCCCTCCTCCCACAGCTCCCCCTAGCCATGCCCACCTCATCTTGCAGGTTGATGTCACTGGGCCCGCGGTTGAGCTGCTCCTGCAGGCTGGACACCACTGCATTGTTGCCCGGCACTCGGTAAATGCCCGTGGACTCCAGTCCTCGTGCCTCCACGATTCGACAGCATGCAGCCACGATCAGGGGGACATGCTAGGGACACAGGCCGGGCAGGGGTATTAGGGAGGGTGAGAGCAGCATTCTCCACCAGTGGACCAGAGAAGGTGGGGAGGCCAAGATGGGAGCAGTACAAGGCCCCACTGCTGCCAGGAACCCTTTAAGGGGACAAAAGGCTCTTACTGCCTCCTGTCTGGGGGCTAGAAATAACCCCTAAGCCTCGCCCTGGGCTGAGAAGGGGCATTTGCCAGGGGTGAGGGATTCTGGGTCTGCCTCAGCTCTGCTGCTCCCTCTTTGAGCTTCCCCAGCTGTGTCTGTAAGACAAGGTGGACCACTGGTTCCAAAGTCCCTTGCAGCTCTGTCTCCCCCTTCCCCTGCCTGCTCTGCAGTGTGGTGGGGCCTACCTGGTTCTCCGTGGCTGGCTGGCACTCTTCCAGCCGGACCCCAAAAGCCCTGGGGGTGGCCTTCTTATTCTTCTTGATGATGTTAATGCCCCAGGGGCTTTTGGAGGCAGCAACACTGTCATCTGGAGGGGGAGGCAGAGAGCACTAGAGTGAGCCGGGCCCAGGGAGGGGTAGCAGCCACACTCTTCCACCACATTCACACGTGTTTGGACACGTGGGGACTCTGTCAGAAAAGCCACTGGGATGCTGTGTGCGAAGATGGAAAAGACTACTTCCTGAGAGGATGACCCTCCTGCCCGTGAAGGGAAGCAGCAGAGACTGAGTGACTATCCAGTAGAGGTGTCTCAGAGAGAAATCAGGGTCCAGGCCCTTCCAGCCCTGAGACTCTGAGAACCTGACCCTCACAGGTATACATACATGGGCAGACACACTGGGATAACCCTGGCACACACACCCAGATACACACACATACCCAGATACACACACACACACACACACACAGGCCCTCTCCTCCCTTGCAGATCCACCCTCCCACCCGAATGCATGTCACCCCCTTAGCAGCCACCTCCTACCCTTGCTCCCTGCAGGCTGGTCCTGAATCCTGAGGCCACGTGCTGCACTCTGTTTGAGGAACTCAGACTTGAGGCCCCCCAGGCCACGAGAGCCTTTTGGGGAGGAATCAGCTTTGGGCCCAGAGCTATGGCTGCATAGAAAGAGGGGGAGAGAAGGGGGTCTTCATCCGGGTGACCCAGCATGCCACCTGCCCTGGCCTCCCACCACTTTGGATCTCCCCTTTATCCCTGAGGCAAACCTTCCACACCCTTCTGGGGACTGGAGGCCTCAAGTTCCCTGCCACCCTCCCTGTCCCCAGCAGAGGATGACCCCAGGGCTACGCTCAGGCCTGGAGGTGAGCCAGGAAGATGGCCTCAGCCTGGAGTGCCCCCCCACCCCCACCCCATAGACCCCATAGCCAGGACTACTCCATGACAGCCGAGCTCACCTCACTTTTCGGTAATCATTTAGCTTCTTGCTGATCAGAGCTTGGTTGGCACAGCCGGGGTCCTGGAGGAGGGGAAAGAGAGAGCAGATGTGGTCAGTGCCCGCAGCCAGCCCTTCTCAGGAGTCATCCTTGGCCCCTGCCTCAGCCTTGCCTCCCTTCTCCTCCATCTGCCAGCTGGAAGCCACAGACCCTGGAGCGAGAAAGACCAAGGCTGGGCTCCTGAGCACCCCCTCACCAGCCGTGTGACCTTGGGTAATCCACTTAGCTTCTCTGAGCCTCAGTCTCCTCAGCAGTAACATGAGCAGAATAATATAACAACCTCAGGGTTTGGGTGCAGAATTACACACACAGTACTCATGACAGTCCTGCCAAGGCACAGGACAGGTGCTGCATGAGGGCAGCTATTGCGATAATGAAGGGGACTTGGGACCCCTGACCAAGCCCTGCTGGGGACAGCCCAGCCAGGCCTCCCAGAGCAGAGGCCCAGATCCCAGGTACTTTCCTCCTTGCGATGAGGAAAGACAATGTCCTGGGGAGGGCAGAGCCTGAGAGGATGTGTCCTCAATGAGAGGGTCTGTGGCCCAGAGGCTGTGCACTAACCCCCCTCTCCCCAAGGCCAGAGCAGGTGCTCCCTGGACCAGGCTCCAGGCCCACTGTCCTCTTGGCAGACCAGCTCCATGTGTAGGACCCCCCATAACTTTGTGAGGGCGTGTCTAGATACTTTTTTGCAGGCACGTGGCCGAGGAGGGATGAGTGGAGACGGAAACCGCAGCCCAGGCTCGGGTGTGCAGCTGCCCAGGAAGGGGCGCCATTTTTTAAATTCTCCAAAGTCCCTGCCAAAGCCTTGGCTCAATCCCTGCTGCTTGCTGCCAAAGGCCAAGCCTCTTGGCCTCCTCCCAAGGTCAATGTGTTCATGTCCCTGCCAGTCCTGTCAAAAGGGCCAGTCACAGTTCTGGCACAGGGGCACCTCATTCCATAATACATTTCATAGGAAACACATACCGCCCCCCCCCGGCCCCCCCC